AATAGGGTCGTCAGGGTCGTTGAGGACTTCCCTTGGCCGACGGGTCCTAAATAATATTTTTGAATAAAGCCACGTCTAGAATATCGGGGCGGTAATTTACGTCATGCGATTAGTGGGTGGGCTCTAAGGGTGCAATTATATCGAAATGCATGGATTCGGATAGCGTCCTGAGGGTGTTACCGCGCGGGTTGATGGTGTTTATGCAGTATTTCTGGCGTTAAGGTCGCCAGTCAGAATAACAGACTCTCCTAGGGACACGAGGGCTTGAAAATCTTCGCGAATTAGCGATCGGGAAGTATCAGGGGATAGGTAGGCCGAAATGAGGGCGATCGGTGGGTGGCTGGTGAAGCCGAGCCGACACGCCGATGCCTCGATGTACGTTGTAAGGAGTGGGTCGAGAGGGATGCAGTGAAGTGAACATTTGTAGTATATAATGGTACCGCCGAGGGGCGAGTTTAATCTATCGTTGCGGACCGCGCAATAGTTGGCAAACATGGGGGTTCCAGCGGAGGGTTTTAAGAAGATTTCTTGAATTAACAGGACATCGAGTTGGTGGTATGTGAGTGGTTGGCTCGATAAGCCATCCGCGTTAAAAAAGCCTAGCTTTACTGATCGTGGCTTGACTCTACTCCTACTGGTTAATAAATCCATTTAGAGAGAGAAGGAAGAAGCGATGAATTTGCTTAATGACCCTACGAGGGAGCTGAAACGTGACATGTTTTGAAGACGCGCGGTGCCGTTTCTGTCGGTAGCCCGGAGGATCGTGGCTAGATTTTTAACTTCGAAAACGTCGAAGGTGCTAACAAAGAGGCTCACGAGGGCCAGGTCGTCCTTAAGGGAGTGAGTCGGTGGTGGTATCGGCGCGGGGGCGCGTGGAGCGTTCGCGGTAGGTCGTTACGCAGAAGGCGCTGGCTGTGGTTTTGCCTTAGGGGCCGCGGCGGTGATGGGGCTTGCCTGCTTCGGAGCGGCGGGCGCAGGGGCGTTGGCGCGAGGGATTACCAACGGCAATTGTGGCGATAGTGGGGCTATAAGAGCAGGGCTGATGGCCGGAAAGTCGCGGATGGACATAAGGGGCTGCGGTTGTACCCTAGCCTGCTGATAGGCCGCAGTGCGCGCAGCCACCTTGTGGTTAGGGCGGGGGGCCTTAGCACAGCCGCGATACTTCGCGGTGTGGGACTCCCCGCACAGTACACACCGAGGAGGCTCGGTGCACTGGGACCTATCTTTAGGCCTAGGGCAGGCTGATGTCGCGTCTCCAGCCTGGAGGGAGAGTCCCCACATAACCCCTGAGTCTCCCTGGGCTCAGGGGTATCTATAAAGATTTCCCCCCCGTAAAAAAAATCGCTGAGGTTGCGTGGTTGCCTGCGCATTTTACGCAGCGGGGTTGCGAGCGGCAATTACGGGACGCGTGACCGTACAGTTGATAATTGTGGCACTGCCCGGGCATGCCACGTTTGCGCGGAGGCTCAACGGTTGAGCCGGTGAGTTGGCAGCAGGTAGTCAGGTTGAAGACCTTCGGGTGTGAGGGGGGGTACGGCGTGCACCATGTCGTATGGTTCGCGGGAACGGTTTTTGTACATTCGGTGAACCTCATGTACGGGGAGGTTTTGAGATTTGAGGTCTGCGGCGATGACTTCTAGATCTAGCGGATAATAGCGGATAACGCGGCGTCGCGTACATTCTCGTTCCAAAGGACCCACCGCAGAAGTTGCGACGGGTCGAATGCGGGTGCCGGAATGGCCATACTACACTCGGCCAACCAGGCCGAGTCCTATCATTATAGCCCCCTAGGAGCTAAAAGACGCAATAAAGTCGCGTCTAACTAAAATGGCACGTGTTAAATATCGAGGGGGGCAGGGGAGGACTCGCGAAAACACAGGCGGTCTCTGCGTGAGAGAGCCTCCGACTTCGTTGGCACCGTTAGGTCTCCACCAAAAAGCGAACCGAGATGCGAAACACTCAAGCTGGAGAGGAAGAAAGAAAATTAGTAAATGTCGATAAAACAAATACGGAAAGTAAAATAAGTAAAGAAATATAATTATTAATACAAAGATCGAACGCTCAGAAAAAACACTCAGAAAAAATTCCTTCGATCCGGTCGGATTCGAACCGACGTCTTCTTGCATACCGTGCCAGACGCTATACCAACTAAGCCACGGAACGAACCAACGGACCTCACGAATTTTTCTATGTGTTTGCGTCGTGTCTTTGTACTTGGTTTTTCAACGACTTTTTAGTCGTAGCGCCATCTATGAGAAATCTATTACAGATTTATCACCCAGTTAGTACCTTTACAGCTACCAGTCCTGGCGAGAGATGTCGCTATTCATTGTATTAATTAAATTTTTATTGAATTTATATTCAATTATTTTTTTGTGAAATTACTCCACTAGTTTGTTATAATTATTAATACAAAGATCAAACACTCAGAAAAAACACTCAGAAAAAATCCGTTCGTTCCGTGGCTTAGTTGGTATAGCGTCTGGCACGGTATGCAAGAAGACGTCGGTTCGAATCCGATCGGATCGAAGGAATTTTTTCTGAGTGTTTTTTCTGAGTGTTCGATCTTTGTATTAATAATTATAACAAACTAGTGGAGTAATTTCACAAAAAAATAATTGAATATAAATTCAATAAAAATTTAATTAAGTAAAGAAATACTTAGTAACGGAGCACCGGGCCGACGTTCTGAAAAGAACACGTGCAACGAAGACGGACGAAAGGCGGGCCACGACCGGCGAGCGATCGGACGAGCAAAGCAGGTACCTGGAACACAACCGACTGGGATAAGTGACAGTGATCGAGTGAGTCGAGGAGACACGGTATGGAACGAGGTTATCCGACAGAGAACCAAGGTCGTCGACATAGCTGATAGAATAAGCAAGCTTAAATGGCAGTGGGCTGGACATATCTGTCGAGGAATCGACAACCGATGGAGTAAGCGAGTTCTTCAGTGGAGACCACAACTCGGCAAACGTAATGTAGGACACCCTCTGGCCAGATGGAGTGACGATTTGCGAAGGCTGCTGGCAGCAGATAGTTGCGACGAGCTGACGACCAGGCAAAATGCTTATTGGGAGAGGCCTATCCAGTAGTGGACTGCGATAGGCTGTTAATGATAACGAGAAAAAAAAAACAAAATTATCTTACACCTCTAAATCTTTGACTTCATCGAGACTACGAATCTACGAATGACGTGCTAATTGTACCTAAACAAAACAATGTTTTATTGTAATTTGAAGAGAGACGTTAATTTTGTTAGTTAACGCAATTTAACATCTGCAGAACCTCTATAACTTAGATACGGGCAAGGATAAAATAGAGATAGACTTGTGCGTAATACTTGATAATAATTTTATATATAATAGGTTTGGTGGCGTTTGTTTTACCACCTTAACTTAAAAACGCCACCAAATTTTACATTGTTATGATATTTTTTAATATAACGTTCACTTTCGAATATTGTTTTAAACTATTATGCTTTATTTGTCGCAATAAACTTAAGAAATATAGTTTTATTCGTAATTTTTCAGATAACATAGAATTACTTAATTACTCTTTGATCTATTTGTATCTTAGAGTTCTTTTAATCTTTTGTTCTTTTTGTATTTTAATAACGGTAATATCATTTAATCAATTTCGTTCAGGATGTCAAACACTAAAAATTAGGTCATTGTTGTTTTCATTGGCAGTTGAACAACTACGATACACAACGCTATCTTTCGGAATGTTTGCTAAAGATAAATTGTAGAATCTCAAATGTATACCATGAGAACATGCGGTGGGTTTGGGTTGTTTAGTAGCAGTAGAGCTCCTTGTGAAAGAGTTAGTCCAAGCAAGTACCATACCTATTTCTGCCACCAAGCAGTAATGTCAGCATTACTGTGATCCAGTTTTGAAGGGTAAATTACAGGTACATGGGACTTGTCAACTTATGTCGCAGGGTGACCGGGCGCAGTGGCAGAGCCCCTCAGATCTTTGCGATTTAAAGCTCTTGAGTGGCATTGCAATTGTTGGACAGGCGTGCAGCTTACCATCAGGTGCACGACTTGTTCGTCCCGTCGCTTGATATTATTAAAAAAAAAAAGTAATATACCGAGTGAAACGGATTGACCCATAAAGCCGAAAGTATCATATTGAAAACCCTACACACATGAGTTGTATTTACTTTAAATGTAAAATCAGAGCCTTAGTTCCTATCAGAACCCTAATAGCGAGGACGAAGCACTCGCGGGAGAGATTTAAAAAGAAAGAACTGCTCTCCTATTACCTTTAACTTACTTTAAAAGGATGATCGATATGTCCACGTCCCCTTGCAAACATTTCAGACGTACATTTAAACTTCTGGTTTTCTATACTATCATATGATTCAGATGTTAATCGTCTGTCGTAGTCCAGCTACTGACAGCACGTTGAAAAAAAAATTAACTTTAAAATCAAAACGTCGGAACTTGCAATAGGGAAGGTATTGAACTTTCAACGATGTAGCGACTGGATAAAGTTTAAATTATGTTAACAATCCAGAATTTGTTACATATTTTTAAATTAGAAACTATGACCCGACATTATCAAGATTTCGTAATGTTTATCATTTGTTTGTGAGCGTTTTGGCGACAGCCATACTAATCGAGGCATATGGCACTTCCAGTGTTTTCTTCTTCCGTGAGTTTGCCTACCATTGATTTAATTAAGAACAAGAAATCAATGTTGCCAACTAGAGTAAAGCAAATATCGCTAAACAAACAGAAAGTTTAAAAGTCGCCGGATGTCGGTAAAACTGAATTTAATTGGCCGGAACTTTATGGTCATAGGCACAGGCAAAAGACAACTGAGATAAAAATCATATTAAATGTTAAAAGATTAAACCTAAATAAATACGCGCCAAAAAAAGTTATTTTTTTGTCGCTAAATAGAAATAAAACGACGCTTTTGATGTCAAAATGTTGTTTTGATGACAAAGTTGCTAAAAGGTTGCTAAAATTCATTATCCTGCATTGCAGTCCGACTTGCCGTCCGCCGCGTACTGCAGGATTATGAATGTAGTCGCAACGTGCAAGCCATGGTGCAGTCCTGAATCCGTAAGCGCGTCATATGCAGGAATCCTGCACATCCTGCAGCAGGATAGTGTGTGAGCAGTCTCCTGCCTGCGCGGCGGACTGCCATGCAGGTAGTGACTGGGCCGTTTTTGTTGGCAACGCTGTACGAAAGAGAGAAAAGAGACTAGAGATGCGTGTGGCAGTAGCGTACCTACGCGTCGGATATCGTTGATTAATAGATATATCTAACGTTGATTTTGAAGTCTATAAAATTATCATTCAGAAATAAGTTTCTGATATAAGTACCATGACCAATTCAAAAGTAGAAGTAAGTCGTTGCAGGTAAAAGTAAGTAATTGCAGGTCGTTTAATGAATTGTTATAAATAATCAAAATTAGCAATGTGACAATCGAAACTCAAAACTAAGAAAACGAAGTGTGGAGGAGTTCTGCAGACCTCTATGAAAGGATTTATTTACATTATACTTATTAAAATTGCAATTTTCTCAGCCAAAGTTAACAGAAAATTTAGTTTTAAATGTCGATCTATTACAAGAACTCTTCATTTTAAAGTTAGTGAATTCCTGTAGTATAAATTAAAAATATTTCCAAATGCATTGAAAAATAGACTAGTACAAAAAAAACGATCTCCCGATAATGCTACCAATAATAAATAAGTAACAAGTGCAACTCTAGGCGGCGCGAGCGATTTCAAACAACAGCCAATTTTTTATTGAAATGAATAAATGATAGCGTAAGCGAGAGCGGGATTAATGATTACGGAGACTATTGTAAATTAAGCACTTGACACATCACACACATCTTACAACTTGTTTACTTAACTTAGTTTAGGTTAGTCTTATCTTATGACGCAGATAATACGAGATGAATTCCTTTTATAAATTAGTCCGGAATGGTTGCTTTGAGAGAAACTATTGTTTCTAAAATATGCGTTGTAGCTTATAAATAATATGAATATAATAAATGTGGAAGTAACTCGGTCCGTTAATTTTCACGCCTATACCGCTGAATCAAATTTGATGATTTGGTATAGAGATACATAGGGCGCACTATAAGTTTCCGGATCTGGCCACTTACATTAGCAATATTTAAAAAGTAATTACAACATTTGAAAATGGAACTCTTTGACTGTAGAATACAGTTTGTTTCATCTGACTGTCACTTGTTTTTACATTGTGGTGTCATTTTAGAAATTGATTGTCTACGTCACCATGGATTTAACTCGTGAAAATTTTGTGGACCCCACACAATTTGACTGTGTGCTCAAAAAACGGATCGTGTCACTGGGTGCAATGCCGTGCTTACCAGGTTCAACGAAGGGGCGTCAAATTTGGTGTGGGATATAGGAACAGGTGACGAAACATGGATTTATAGTTACGATCCCAAAACAAAGCAGCAATCGAGCGTATGGGTCTTGCGAGATGAACCGAAGCCAACCAAAGTGGCGCACGTGCAAAGTGCCTCTAAATGGATGATTGCTTCTTTTTTTAATAAAACTGGAGACGTGGCTACTGTTGCTTTGGAAAGTCATTGTACCGTGGATAGTGATTGGTACACGACCATTTGTTTGTCGGAAGTTATTGACAAACTCCGTAAAAATAACCGTAAACGCCGTGTCATCTCGCACCACGATAATGCCAGTTCTCACACGGCCAAAGACAAATGAATTTTAGAAGTTGAACAACGTTGACCTTAGGAGCCATCCCGCGTACAGTCCCGACCTGGCCTTGTGACTTTTATTTATTTCCAAACATTAAGAACCAGTTACGCGGTCAACGATTTTCATCACCAAAAGAGGCTGTCGAAGAATATGAAAAATATGTTTCAGAGATTGTCACGGAGGAATGGCATAAATGTTTTCAAAATTGGTTCATTCGTTTGAAAAAATGCATTAACGCTAACAGAGAATATTTTGAGAAACAATAAATTCATTTATGACCATTTATAGTAGGTATATTTTTCTTATTCATTCCGGAGACTTATAGTGCGCCTAACGTAGATAGGAACTAGGAGAAGGACATGCGCTACTGTTTATCACAAAAATAAGTATTAAAGGGGGTGAAATACTTAGGGGATGAAAGTTTGTATGGAGATCTACTCATTATATATAACTGCCTTCGTGGCCAAATGGTTACCATGTTGGGCAGCCACGCAGAGGGTTTGATTCCCGGGTCGGGAGAAATATTTGTATGGCCTGATATTTATTTCTCTCGTGAGTTGGGTGTAATTTGTGGTTATCTATGTGTGCGTGCATGGCACTAGCGATACAGAGTTTCCCTACTGAGGCGACTATGAATGTAAAAAAAACATTTTTCAGTAAGTAGTACACTGGGCTACTCGAAGTACATATTCTACTCCAGCTAGTATGTCAAACTTTTGCTTTCAAAAATACACACTGGACACACTTCTCCCGTGGTAATACTGAATAAATTCTAACTATACCAAGCATACCAAGCAATTTACCTTAAGTATTTTTCTCTGAAACTAGGACAGTGACAATGCATTAATTACGGAAAACACACATTAATGTAATAAATTACGTGAATTTGGGATATACCAGCTTAACTGTACTTGTACGTAAGTACGAACACGACCTGTTTCCTTGTAAAAAACAAGCGTCAAGGAAATATAACGTAAACAATCTTTAAACACTGCACATACGACTTAGAATTGCATGGAGGTACTTAAAGATATCGTATTAATAAAACGGTTCGACGGGTTTTGTCATCCGTTTAATAATGAGTGCCTCACTGCCTCAGTTTTGAACGCAACACGGTCGAGACCAGTCGCCATGTATACTGCCATCCTATTGTTTACCATTATATCAACGTGTACGTGTGATGTGGACTTTAGTGAAAGGCCAAGAAACTTTAGCATCGAACTGGTGCACTTCACACAATTGGAAAGCGATGGTCATGTCGTGATTTCACCCTTCGGAATATGGTCACTTATTACTGGAGTAGCCTTAGGAACAACTGGAGAAAGCTATAGACAGTTAAGCCGAGCTTTCATATTACCGAGAAGCCCAAACACGTTGCTACAAGGATACAAAGCCTTGACTAAAGTTGTACTTAATCCTACTACGAATGGAGTAACTATGGCGAGCAAGAATTATGTGTTTTTGGACGATGATTTTGAAATCCATCCAGAATTTAGAAAAATTGTACAAGATGAATTCGGAGCGGCTGTTAAAGTGCTTGATTTTAATGATCCAAATACAGCGGCAAAGATTGCAAATAATTATATAGTTAATTTAGATGGCGCTAAAGTCGCTAACGTCTTAAAATCCGACGACTTCGCTGAATCAAGAATGATATTGACCAATGTGATATCTTTCAAAGGACTTTGGAGTTCGCCATTCAACAAATCTGACACAGTGAGAAGACCTTTCTACAATGAAGATAAGGTGATAATAGGAGAAGTGAACATGATGTACCAGAAAAGCGCATTACCATTTTCAAGTATCCCACAATTGAAGGCTTTTGTTCTCGAAATACCCTATGGCAATGATAAAAAGTATTCCATGCTTTTCGTTTTGCCATACAACACCGTGAGAGTAGCGGACATGTACAAAAACTTCGCTACAGTGTCTCTTACAGATATTCAGCAAAAACTAGCAAGTGACGTTGAAGATTTTGGCCTAGTGGATATTGAAGTACAAATTCCAAGATTCCAGATTAGTACAAATGTTGCATTAAATAAGCCATTGAATAATATGGGTGTTTATGATATTTTTGAGCCAGGCAGAGCCTCGTTTCAAAAAATAACGGACAGGGATATCTTTGTTTCTGCTATTATTCATAAAGCTGATATAGAAGTAACTGAATCTGGAACGGTAGCATCAGCTGTAACTACTGCAACTTTTCAAGATAAAATTTTATCAACACCTAAATTTGATGCGAACAAGCCTTTCGTTTACTTTGTAATTGAAAAAACGACATCTACAGTTATTTTTGGTGGCATTTATTCTAAACCTACTGTTTATTAATTTTTACGTTTTCAACACCGTATACTTAATAATGCCTGTTTATAAATATCATACCTCATATGCCTCATATTCGTTTTACGGTATAATTGCTCTGTACAGGAGCCACAAATTATTTTATATGTAAATGTGATAGAAGATTGTGTTAAGTCAGTGTTATAATTTATTAATGAAACATAGTAATCTATAATATAAGCCATTTGCCTTATATGTCATATGAAAGTACATCAACGATTATTCCTTGTTTAGTTGTTTGTGCGTTATTTCAGTGTTGTCATAACATATTTTATTACCAAACATCACACAACACACAGCTACGGTTCAAGATCTTTATTAAGTCTTAATTGTTCAAGTTTAGGGTCCTGGTCATTTGGAACGGTAGGTGTCCACGATGTCCATGTTAATAGTCTAATAATGCACAGGAGGTCTAAAGAGGTTTATGATGCACCTAGAGATATGAGCGGTATCTCAGCCGATAGACATTTGCTACAGGACATGGAACTGTTTATTAATACGTTAGAAACTATTTAAAATTCCAACGCCGTGCCATTTTAGTACCGAGCGCCACGAGTAGATAGACCGTGTTCTGCCTAAATGAGTCAACTCACAGAAAATCGTGAAATTAGTTATGAATGCAATCTTATACCTTGTAACATAAAGTTTAATATTATTTTTACTAATATCTTTAAAATAAATCGTAGTAATTGTTTCACAAAACCTGGTTCGTCTTATAGGCGAATTTCGCAAACATGTGGTTAAACCATAAATACGAATTACAACACATATATCCTTCAACGTGGTTTGAAACGACTTAGTTCAAGTGCGCTTTTTTTTTAAACACACACATTTTTGGAAAATGTAAATACTTTAAATGTTGACGATGATATGGACAGACTGGAAAATGATATAGATTCTGAAACTGACGATTGTGCGATTAGAAGAAGGGACCTTATACTGCTAAAATAACAATTTGGCTAATGGCGCACCTTCCGAGATATTTATTGCGAAAATTAAAGCTTAATTGGTTTATTTCAATATGAATAAAAATGAATGAAGGCGATGGTAGTTGAACGGGATAAAAGTGAAAAAAAGGGGACAAGCTTGGTAGCGAAGGGATACAAAAAGTGAAAGAATATGTGTAGCTGGCTGGGTAGTATATTGACAAGAGATGGTTAGTGTGATGATATTGAACGGAAAGTAATAGTCGAATTCAGGTAAATGGAGCTCTGTATGCCTTTATAGGTAGCCAGAACGTGTTCAGAAAGTACTGGTTTCAACCCTGATGTACGGTACCGACTATACTGTTGGTATTAGAGCTTTGAGTACTATGTGTTCTGTTAGTGCACCTTCAAATTAGACGGTTATAGAACCGGTACAGTGCGCCACTGTGGCGCTGCAGCCGCGGCACTACTTCATTTTCATACAATATTTCGTCGGCTTAGTCATTAATTGCCATATAATTTATATGGCAATGACTTCTTGCAATAAGCCGACGATTTAAAAGCGCAGCTGCAGCGCCACTGTTGTGACTTGCGCGCGCCATTTTTTAGTCTAGATATTGTATGAAAATTAGTCATAGAGCGGCTTTCGCGTCACAGACGCGCTACTGCACTACTACAGCTACTATGAGCGTCTAATTTGAAAGCACCCTTAGTCTTAAAGACAGACTGCCGAACAGACTAGTAGGGAGAGCGGGGCTGAACGTTCCGATTTTCAAATAACTTGCAGTTTTATACTGAAAATGAAGGATTTGATTTTCAACATGTGGAAACACTTGAACAAATGTTTATCGCTTATTGTCATAGCATAGTCACTTCTACTAGTATCTCAATAGTCTTTTGCATAGAAGCAAATTTTTGACAAATTTCGGAGCGAACTTTCAGCCCCGCTTTGGGGCGCGTTGTTCCGCCTTTGAGGCAAATTGTTCCGCCTAGATTATGACAGAATAAAAAAGGTTTTTAAATAAAACCACCTATTTTATAATTGTATGTATATAATGTTTATATTATGCACAATTAAGTTAAAAAAACTACATTCTTATTCATCAGTAATATTATTCATCGCTCATTTCTTCATCTGAATCACAGCTGAGACACACTTATGTGACTCTGTCATCTTGTCCAAATATTTGACATGAGCCCGTTTGTAGTTTGGCATCCTAACAAAGTAAAATGGTCATAAAAATTTCAAGTATGATTGCACGTCAATTGGGGAAGTTGTTCCTAGAAACAACCAGACCCTCGAAAGAGAGAGAAACTTATAGCCCCAAATTACGTTTTTATACGAAGACTGACATACCGACAAAGTAATAAAATCAATCAAAAAAATACTCAAACAATAAGATTCCTTACTAATGTCACTACAATTTAGAAAAGTTACGTATGAGTCACCCCATAATAAACAAAGACAGACCAAAAAATTTAAACAAGAAAAAATTTACTTACGTGATATTTGGTCAGCTCCACGCACATATCCACCCGTCGTCGCTGATGGAGTTACTGAAATGGCTGCCGGCAAGACGTATCACCTGACGCTTTAACGACGCGCTTCGCATGTATTGCTATATATTTTCTATACAAAGTTATTGCTGTGAGAACAACTTACCCCGGGAACTACCAGTCCCGGTCTCCCCTAAGAGAACATCGTGTACTTAAAGATTATGTCGTCATGTAGAAAGGATGGATGCTACTAGATTTAAACGTGGGAAGAACTAGACCCTCGATACACATGTCTCGATCAAATTGCGGATGTACACGTAAAAGTAAGGAATGGTACATCGTGCGGGGAGGCTCCTTTCGTGCACCCCCGATTGTGCACGTACACAATCGTCACACAACAGTCTGCAGTGTTTATTCGGATTAGCCATTAAGATTTACGGGTCAAGGAAGAAGGGTGATTGATTATTAAAAAAAAACACTGATTCACAAGTGACATTTTATACGTACTTTGTTACGTAATGTGTTAACCACCCATGACACTTATAGTATTAATTTTTTGATATATCGAAATTCGAATTTATTATGGCATAAACCATTTTTATTTAATTACTAATTGTAAGTTTATTAACTTAAAAAAATAATTAACTGATCGTAATGCTTACTCCTTTACAATTAGTTTGATATATAATTGTAAATTATTTAAATGAGTAATGACGAAAAGTTGCCAATCTCGAAACTGTCATTTTGTGGGTTAACTCATTTATGCAGAACACGGCTCAGATGGCATTACCTGTATCCTGAAGCACGCACGCAAAGTATTAACATAAATATTTTAGGATTAGCGAGGTACTTTGAGTATGGTATCACGGGTTAAAAGCCTGCAGCTTGCCCTTTTGTCGGGTGTCAAGGCCATCAGCGACCAACTGCAAAATCCTTCATAAAAAAGGGTATAGTATCGGACTCGAAACCCAGAGGGGCACGCAACTGGTTCCAGTTATGTGGGACAGCCGATTTGTAATGGAAACCCTATAAACCAATCTCTGTAAGGCTGCATGGCGGCCGCTTCCACCCTATGGGACGGTTTGCTGTCGACCGACTACAACCGCGTCGTCTTCAGATGTAATTTTACTGTAATAATCATACTAATTAACTACACTTAAAGATAACTCACGTATTTAAATCGAATTTTTGCTCGTTATATTATGTTTCGAACCAGTCCGTGGTCCATAATCATGAGATTTCGCGGCGATTATTCCTCGGAAAGTTTTCTATTTTAAATTACAATCGGTCGGCGATTTCTTTCTATAACGCGCCCGACTGTTCTTTATTATTAAAAAATAGTATTGTTTTACCTTGATTTTACGATACATAAAAAGCAATCGTTAGAATTTTCAATTTGTATAACTTGTTACATTTGAATTACAACCTTGGAGTCTATTGCATTGTAATAAAATCGTAAATAAACTTTAGATGTAGTATATTAAGTTCGAACTATAAAAAATATTACTAAAATATATTATTAATTACATTTTTGGTAGTTTGACCTGCTGTTTAGAAGGTAGGTATACTGTATAATACACTATTAACTTTTACACAAAGTTGTACACCGAGTTATTTGCAAAATAGGTACTAACAACCTCCTTCCTTCCTTCCTTCCTCCTTCTTTCCTCCTCCTCCCTCCTTCCGGTCCTTGCAGGACCTGAGACGACTTTATTTCCATGACTTTTAAAAATTTATCGGATTTAATTTTCATACAAAAATAAAAATATTCTAATAAATCGCTCTAAATGGCGATAACTCTCTGCGGTAACAAGCGCTAAAGTAAATACCAGTTCGATGCGAAAAGCAAGAAGGGAGGGACTTACACGATTGAACTTACTACTGCCAAATAGGTACAGCTAGAAAAATATCAGATAGCAAAACAAAAAAATAATTTCGCAAAAAATAATTGAGTGTCATGGTAGTGAAACCATACATCCTGACTTTCAATAAAACACTTAATTACAGTGAATAGCGTCTTGTTAAACCAGGGCTGGTAGCTGCAAAGGTGCCTAACTGGGTGACGAAATACTTTCACAGATTTCTCTTAGATAAAAGGTCGTTAAAAACCAGATACAAAGATCTGAGAACAAGCACATAGAAAAATTCGTGTGGTTCGCTGGTTCATTCCATGTCTTAGTTGGCATAGCGTCTGGCACGGTTTGCTAGAAGACGCTGGTAGAGGAGACCCGTGCCTATCACTGGAACCTAACACTTCAGAAATCTTGCAATTGTGGGCTTGAAACAAGAACTCGCGAAAATTTTATCAAAAAAATAATGGAATGCACACAAGACAAACAAACAACTTTAATTTTTATACACATATATTAATTTACTACGGTGTAGGGTCAGTAATATAATGATGTGACAATGACGTCATTATATGCTAATACAAATTAAGATGTTATCGATTTTACATATATGTGAAGAGTGACTGTATTAAGAACGATTTATAACGTCATTTGAATTTAATTGTATTAAATAGACTGGCGGTCGCAGTCACTTGCTATAAACGCAATAAAATATTATTAATACACAGGGTGGAACCCAACAAAAACCCACAAAGCTGAAAACTGTGACGTCATAAATGGGTAGTAATTGTACTGAAAGTCTTTTTGCTCTAAGTGTAATAGTTTCTGAGTTATTCAATGACAAAATTTGCTTGAAAAGTCTGTGCTGTCAACCCTAGGTCATAAAACAGCTATTTGGGGGCAAGTACTGGTAGATACTCAGGGCAAAAACTTTGTACTTTTAATAGGTCGTTAACCTAAGTCGTTGGTCAGCAAATAATACCCCATCAATTCTTTCATCACTCATCATGTGTATTTTATTATTTCGAGATTAAATTATCACCCCTAAATTCCGTGTTTGACGTCCCAATATTCATATTTACCGAAAAAATGCACCTCTTATAGAATTAATCACAAGCTACAACGCATAGTTTAGAAACAATGGTGTCTCCCGAAGCACCCACCCCGAACCAATTAAGTAAAGTTAACTTTTCTAACAGATTTCTATATACACAGAGTCTATCGGGAATTCAATTTTTTTCTCGAAATCTTTCAGCGTTCTACAGGATCTAGCAAATATTAGGATTCCGTGGGATCAGAAACTTACAATCCCGCAAATACCGGGACTCAGATTACTTTGGGGGATTGCATTCTAATCTTGTAGATTCTCACTACCAAGGATGCACATTACGATTACATTTTTATGAAAATCGATTCGAGTGCTTATGATCTAACGATTTTTTTAATGGATTATTTCAATGCGATTTTCGACGGAAGCGATGAAATAGAAAGGCAAATCGAATCACCTAGATAATCAGAATGCCGATGATCAGAAAGCAATAAAGTAGTAAATAGCTTTTGCCCTTGATTTCGAGCGGTAATGGATTTTAACCCGACATAAAACCCGGCGTTAACAAAGCACGGGTTAAAATCCGGGCGCTTGCAGATCTGTGGTCAACGTCAGTAGGTAACGCAGATTTTTTTTACTAACTAAGTATAGATTACCGTGATTTTAACAACGGCAAAGGTCCAAATGATTTCTTACCTGCTTTTAATGTTATTGGTACGAATACCTACCCCGCGTCCGTAAAGATAAGATCCACAAAACAATCTAAACAGTAGATACAAGTGCTTTACTGAGCGTGTCACGTGTGAAAATAGGTATACGCATAGGTACTTGAGTTTAGTCCGCCATTTTCGCTTTGCTGTACGTTATGGTCGTGTAAATTTAAAAAATCACTCGCATAAAACCTCGAAAATCGGTAAAAAATAACTTACTTTAATTATTATTATCAAAAAACGAACACTTGGAAAAAATCCTTCGATCCAGTTGGATTCAAACTGAACGTATTTTAGCAAACAGAGCCAGACGCTGTGCCCACAAATTAGATAGAGATACTACTTAAGCTGTGCCAAGTAATCCACGGAACGAACAACGAACCATCGGACCCTACGAATTGTTCTATGTGCTTTTTGTAGATCTGTGTTTTTGGTTTTTATTGACTTTTTATGCCTGTCAGAAATGTATTTCTACGTTCAGAAATGTACCTTTACAGCTATCATTGCTGACTAGAGATGTCGCTCTAATCAGTAATCGAATCTCGTGCTTGGAAATAAAGTAGTTTATATAAACCACATTATCAATAGTATATAGAAAAAAACACAGAGGGGTTCTGTAGCCTGTGAACTATTTAATCTCTATTCACGAGCCGCTGTAAGTTAGGGTTAATTTAAGCGCGTAATTGTATTAAAAATCGCCAAGTCTTTATGTATCTAGGTACTTTGTCTTGACTAAAATTACAGTAATACATAGCCAATAAAAAAACCTTCCACTGATGACACTGACTGAACTGACAGCTGGCAATGACGTTGACAGTTACACCAAGTACACAACTTAATTCGAATTTTTGCAAGATTTTCATCAATGTAGAATAGGGAATTCCCCTATACAAGTATTTATTTTTATAAATTTTAATAATGATTCACCTGCAGTTCGGCCCAGTTGATCGCGTTAAGTAAATAAAAAATAATAATTAAAATCTAAATCGTGTAAAAAAATTGTTATCGAAGTTGTGTAAAACTTCAAAAACAATGTTTTGCAGAAGAATAATTGTTAACCGAATTAGTTTTTACACAAAGTACTTGCTACCAAATTATAATTTTAAACATAAATACGATAACTTCAAGTATTACAGCTGTAAGTATAACATGTAAACATAACCTATATATCACATTGTGTTGTAGTCTTTAAACTTGATATTAATATCAAAATTTGTTCATGAATTTATTTTACTGGTTGGTATTTTCAATATTGGTAATCGCATCTCTTATTGGCTTAGTCAGTTTCGACTGCATTTCCACTGCTGTCTACATTTCAGCTACTATATTTATGCACTTAGTCAGATTACTGCTCTTGTGCTATGCACTAAAGCCTGTATACCGCGGAACTGTGGGGTATGTGTTAAGCCATAGCACGCGATCCATGAGCGGTGATTATGCAATCATACCATGAATTTTTGGGATTAGAATTTAAGATCCGTTGTTGTGACATTCCATTTCAAATTACATACCATACACTGTTTTTCCTGTACACACTCATAGCCCTTAGGTGCCATATATACACACACACACACACAGGTAGATAACTACAAATGACACCCAAACTCATGAGAAAAATAAATGTAAGTCATACAAATATCTTTCCTGGCCCGGGAATCAAACCCGAGACCTGATTTGCCTACTGCACTGTGACACAAATGCTATATTGTGTGAAGTTCGTCTGCCTTTCTTGGGCAGAAATGCTGAAGAAAACTCTTTACCATAGCAAATTACTATTGATCAAGCTTTACTGTGACATTTAATACTCAATCAAAGACGCTTACTGTTGTATAGGATGATTTTTGCGCACAAACAAAATTTGTTAAGCCATCTCCCCAATTATGACACAAATGCTGTAGAATCCATCTTTGTATGAGATTTTTTCAGTCGTGCGGCAAGTGCGCCGATGAGGTGATAAGTGTAAGCAAATTTATTTTCACACGCTGATAACCTTTTGTCACTTTGTGCCGGTCGGCATAAGTGCTATATCAGTCAACTGTTATAGAATGCTACAGTGTCTATTGACACTTTCATTAATGTAAGCGTGATCTGATGAGGCTGCTATGACATTCTCAAAAAGTCATACAATTTTTTAGTGTCAAAAGTGGGTGACTCACTGTCCGTGAACGTGTTCAAAATTTGTATGTAATTGATTGTAGTTTGATCCTCTTATTTGGCAACCCCCAAGTGCTCGGCTAGGGCCTCTGTCTGAGTGAAGAGTCATATACACTTCTAAAACTAATGCCTTTAGCATCAAAATACTGATAAGAAATAAAATGATCTTCATTTTAAAGTCACAGCATAAATTTCATGGCCAAGCCTATGTATGCCTATGTACAAGCCTATATAATATGGGAAATCATGTGATGCGGAGCCCTTGCCAATGGTACTCAATCTACAGTCATTCACATCACATGGTCAAAATAAGCACTAGGTAGAACAAAATATGAACTATTGTCCATTACAGTATTTGCATTACAGTTTTTTTCTTATAAGTTGTATAGTTCTTTTAAAAATATTTTATGGAATAGTAGAGTATTAGCAACTGTAGAGCACCTTGTGAAAGAGTTCATCTGCACTACAGCTGTTATTATATCCCATCACTTGATATTATAAAAAAAGAAATAAAATAGAGTGAAAGGTTGGTGTTGTGTTGTGTTTACATACCATTTGTTTATGGACGTAGTAATTTAGCTACAAGAAGGGTGCTGTCTTCAATTTCTGAACTTTAATTATTTTATTTTGAATGTCACAATTTTTTATATCCTGTTGAAAATCAGACTGATCGTTGACTGAGTGTTGATTGGTGACTGAGTGTATGTCTAAAAGTTGCAATCTTGATTTTTCCAGGTTATTCATCAAGCCAAACCCAAAATGAAGAATTGAAGAAATTAAGACACAATTTATGTTATCCATATACTTTGCGCACTCTGCATAGACCATATTGTACTAAAGGATCATTAGACAAAGAAGCTGCACAGACTAAGAAAGAACATGACAATAAAGGTAAAAAATAAAATTATTAATATGTATGCTACACTTGTCTACTGGACAAACTATCACCTGATCTTAAATATCAGACATTTATGTATTCCATTTATTAATTTCTTAATTTACTAAATTCATTTCATTTTGACATTTTAAATTTTATTCTTATGTTATTGCAATGCCCTTACAGGGCTACTGTTTGAGAACCGTCACTAGCTCTAGAACACCATGTACTACAACATTGATGCAATAAAGATTATGACTGATTATGACTATCTCTTAAGAAACTAGCTTTCCCTGTGCAATGAGGTTAAAAAGTACAGAGTACGAAAAAACCGACCTCAAAAGTTCGTGGAATTACTTCTATTTGCCAAGTTTTAGTGAAATTGTTTACCGGAAAGTGTGCAAAACCAGATTCATCCCCTACTTTCTCACCCTTAGGAGGAATATTTCCTTCAGATTTAAATGCGACCACTACCGAGGTACCCTCTTTCCAACAAAAAGAATCATCAAAATCGGTTCACAAATGACAAAGTCACCGCGTAACGTACATACAAATAAATATAGTCGAATTGAGAACCTACTCCTTTTTTTTAAGTCGGTTAAAAAAGGGTAATCGATTCTGGGCACTACTCGGATCACCTATGTAAGAAACAATTTACACTCTTGATCACTAAATTGGTGCGATCGGAAATAGAACTTAGGTATTTTCGTGTTTTCCATTTATATGATAGGGAGAAATGGAAATCTCTGGAAGAGGCGTATGTCTTAGGATAAGCTGAAGGTACCGAGTAAACAAGTTGAGTAATAATAAATAAGTAAAATATAATAAGTACGCATGTCATACAATATGTTAGATAAGTTAGTAGGTTATCAGCAATAAAGGCTATAAATAAATAAATAAATAAATAAAATTTTCGTGTTTTACTTATACAAAACAGCACTTTATATTGATATACTAAGCACACCAAGATAGCATTGTGATTTTAACTGCTAAGATGGTAGAATGTTCTTAATAACAATTGTCAAAATAGAAAACAAATAATATTCTAATTTACTTCCTCTATGAACACACACAATGTGTTTATTTCGGCTTATGTTATTAGTAAAATTATGTATATTGAAATCAAAGAGCTCCTAGTTCTACTTAATATTGGCATAACCATCCCCAAAAATGGAGTCCAAATTAGATGCTTTCGTACAGTTACTTAACGGGAGATTATTTAGTAGCTAGTCTCTGGTTTATTGTCTTCATATACTGAAATCTTTTTTATTACAATTACAGTATTTAAAAAAATAACAGAGCTGTTTCCGCAACCACGAGTGACAATCAATGAGTTCGTAGCAAAAATGCCGGAAAATATCCTCAGCATACATTATAAGCAAAATGTTAATATAAATACAAAGAAAAGTAAAAAAAATAAAATTGTATCCAGTGACTGGACTTGTACTTATGCTTTTGTTTGGCCTGAAATGATTAACTTTGTGGGGTAAGTAATATACATCCATCAAGTACATGGTGACTGTGAACTGGCAATCAGTACTATATCAATTTTGGACTACTTGACAAGTGAAGAAAAACATTGTTTGCGTCATTTATATAGCATCTGGTTTATTAAATAAAACGTACATATATACACTACGTATTTTTATTTAATAAACCAGATGTGAAAATTGAGATAGTACCGGTTGGCAGTTCACAGTCGATTTTAAACATCTAACCTAATCACTCAGAACTCTTGTTTATGAACAACCTCAGTGGTCTAACAGTTTACAATGTGGACGGTACATGCGGAGGTCCCTGGTTCGATGCCCAGCAGGACCATAATTTGGGAAATGAACTTTTCTAAATTGGTTCCGGTCTGGGTGTTTTGTGAAGTGCCCCTGAGCGAATTCCGTTGCTCTGGTACTCTAGTACAGGGAGGTCCCTAGTTTGAGACCAGGCAATTGATGGGGTTGTCTGACACAATGTTTAAATAATCTGACCTAAATCACGCGAGCTACAGTCTGTCTTTTTTGAAGACGGAGTAAAATGACAGTTCATTGGCGCAAGTGTTGCCCCTTGCGAGCAGCTAGTGATTGCCGATAAATATTCTATCGGGTGTCGACTGAATATTGGTGACGCTTATGTAATAAACAGCTGAACATGTTTCATTTGAATCATCCACAACTCATTATTCATCCAATTACTGAGCACAAGTTCATTTGAATTGTCAATTTTTTTAAGTTCATACATACATACACTGTATTTTGAACTCTGTTTATGAAAAATACAAAGAGAAGACATATTTTAAAGCTGTCACTTTAATTCAAAATAAATAATCAAATTCGGCTTTTCTTGTTAAAATATATGTGAATAAATATTGATCTCGATACTAGTAGTACTGTCAAAATAAGAATAAAGAAGACAATAACACAATGAATAATCATTACAACGTCGTAACATTCACAATTCTGTCATTTTTGGCAAAATGTTACTATTTAAAATTTTATGAAAACTGGCAACCCTATAAATGTCATTTTACTCCGTCGTCAATAAAGACGGGACTATAAGTGAGGGAAGATGTCATGTATTCGTGGCGGTGTAGGCCATGTATTGTATGTGACCTGCAAGACACCACCGATTGTTCGCAGACTGCATAGGAGTGCAAGCTGGGGGAGGCCTTAATCCTGCGAGACCTTAAGCTTAAATATAAAAAATCTTACTTTTGCAGTACAGCAATTTCGAAACGGCTGGCGGCAGAGAAAGCGGCTATCCAAGCACTAATCTATCTAGTTCAAAACAAGCATATAGACTATAGAGGACAACCAATATTTAAGAAAGAAGATATAACTGAACTAAAGGAAAAAATGGAAGAATCCATATGTGTATCTCTCAGTGATAAGTCTGTGGAGCGTATTGAGAAATTGTGGAGTGCATATGAGGAGGAGATAAGTAGGTATTATTTTTATTCTTATATGCAGAGTATTAACAGTACTGCATTGCACCCAAGGGGTTTTCATTACGCTAAACATATAAACAAATAATGATTTGCCATATCGTATTATTTTCTCAAACTCGTATCTTAAATCACTAAGTTACTGAAATTCAAAAAATGGGTTGTACGAATAAATACAAATTTCGCTTTTTTCACTTTTGTTCGAATATTGCCTCCGGTGCAACGGAACAAGATTCGTCTATGTATATCTTAATGTTGCCATCTGTAAATCAATTTTGATAAAAAATGTTACTTGTGCGTTTTTTAGTTCCGATGACACATTGAAATTAAGATAATGTGAATTAGAATTTGAATGTAAGGTCTGTTACAGTATTTTTTATATTCCAGGTAACATTTACAAGAGGACCTTCAGTGCCACGGAAATAGGCTTTGGCTCACCCATGCCTTTGGCTAAAGATTCCACTTTAGACGAGGAAGGTGCGTATTTAGACTGTATTGTATGAAACAGATCGTAAATTGGAAATATAAATTTGATACACGATTTACATCCAAATTTTTTTTCAAACAAACCAACATTTCAGGCTGATTTACATCAGAAAAAATTGTTACAACTGTGAGAGAATTCGACGGGGGCTAAAGTTGATGTCAACGCCTCGGCAAATAGAATTGGCTCTATTTAGTAGTGAAAGTGCGTGTATTTTTGTTATACTTTGCAGCGAATACTTAATAATAATAATTTATAACTCGGGAAATCTCCCACCTTAGTATTCCACGCATGGTGACGCCACCTAGGAAGGAAGGGAAAAACTCTTCCTTCGGCTCGCGTCGCGACTCTTCGCCAAAGATCGGGTTGAAAAAAAAAACATGGCGCTAGCACACGTTTTACCAGCACGTTTTCGATTGCAACTCTGTACTAAATGTTTGTCATGAGTGCCATAAGTAAAATAAATACTTGCATATTTATAGTGAACTTTTTTCTCCTACAAAGCCGCGGAAACAAAAACTGTGATGGAAACAAACGTCTGTCACAAAATCATTTATTTTCGAAAACGCAGGTTGTTTAAAAGATGACATGTACAAAATAAGAATAGTTTCTGTGTCCGGCCAAACATTAGGTATAAAAATATTGAAGATATATCATATATTCACTCATGTGAGTGAATGTATGATATAGCACTTCGACCGACTATACCAGGTGTAACATATTTCTTCCTCAATAATATTACATGGGCGTGCACATATGGATTTAATAAGTCTTCTTCTTCTTCATTTATTAGTGGCTTGTTCTGTCTTTCACAATTCAGTCACGTCGACAGGTAGCCTCTACACGGGAGGAATGGGTTTATTTCAAATATAATTTTGATCATTACTGCTGTCTGTGAGACTCGAAGCTGGTTTATCTAAAAGCACACAGGCTGCAACATCACAGAACAACAAAGCATAGCCTAATAAATCATGGCTGTTAGTAAATTTTTTAGGTAAACTAATGAATTAATGCACGCTATGTAGTTGTAGACAGGGTAAAAAAAATGAAAATAAATAATAAAAAGCAAGGATAAAGGAAAAAAAGGGAAAAATTTTACAATTTTAATTGGTTAATTGCCAAAACTTTTTTCTTTAATTTTAAACATCTCGAGGATGCATTTTATGTTTGTTGGACGAGGGACATCTTGAGGGAGTAAACCGTAGAGACAAACGCGTTCAATTAGTCAGTAATATATAAATTTAAACACGACGATAGTTATATGGGTCAGTTTTAATGGTAACTAGATATAAAAAAATAATATATATATAACGTCAAAAGGTACATACAAATGTCAAAAATTTGACAATTAATTTAGGGATTTATCATTTAAAAATTCTGACACTGTTAGTACATTTTATTAGTCAATAACTTATTTAATTGTTTTTTAAATAGCGTAAGGTTTTTCTCAGGCCTTAGTACTTTCGGTAAATTGTTCTAAATTATCGCCATTACAAAAACACTTTTCTGCATGAAGGTAATTTTACAGGTTTAAGGCCTTATTAGGCTTAGGCTAATACAGTTATACTTAAATAGTTTATTTATATATTTTTTTTATTTCTATCATATCGATGGCATACACTATATTGTCGCGGCCTAGAATTTAGTCACGCTGATAGCGCCACAAGTAACCGCCATAATGGACTGTGTATGAGATATGTTTGCCATTGTGGTGAAAAGATTTTTCAATCGGTGTAAGATACTCGCCGATTGTTACGCCAGGAGTATTTAGAAAACAATTCGTATGTCATTCGTATTCCCTTTTCTTTATTAATTGGATGTAGTTAGGCAAAAAGTATCCAATCCACAAAGTTATCAAAAAATGAGTTATATGTATTAAGCGGTTCCTAAAGTCTAACCTCTTAGATCAGCAAAAAAAATCAAACATATTAACCATTGACTTACAATTATATGGACGTCGGGTCCGCGCTAAATAGTGTCCGAACTTGTAAGGCGTTAAAATCGTATACAGAGCGTCAATCTCCGCTTTAGTCATCATTTGTTCGACTGACAGCGCGATACTGCGATGACATTACAATTTAAATTCAACGTTTTAGCTTTTTCATATTCCTTTACATGTCACTACGTTTAAATAGGTTGACTTGGGACATTTTTTTCGTGGTTTTTGTATTAGACCCGACGTCCATTTATTTGTAAGTCAATGATATAAACATGAATAAATATCTCTGGAGTTATCTTGAGATTATAAGTTTTGAAAATAAAACAAGAGTGAGAAACACTTCAACTTCAAACTGTCATATCTCGAAAGTGACTGGATGTGCATTGGATCATTTTGGTTTAACTACGTCCAATTCTGTTTTAAATTTGTCAACATTTTTTCTTGTTTGTTTTATTACTATTTTTAAAATCAACAAACCACTGGCTAACATCCCCATTCAAGGAGGCGCCTGCAGTTTACGCCCATGGGTTTAAGTGTCTAGCTCGGAAGTCAGCCTGAAATTTAAACTGAAATGTTACCCTATATATACAATTAGAAACCAATGTCGCTGTATGTCAATGCCTGAAGTCCATTATTAGTTTTATAAGATTTGTCGATGGTTATAGGCTGGTCTCCGTTAAAGGATATAATTTTTTTGTTTTTTTTTAAACTAGCTCTTATTTAGCTGTTATCTCAGTAATATAAACCTCCGCCAGTTCTTATAAACTTTTTATTTACAGATGAGTATTCAGAGAGCGAAGATGGTGAAAAAGAAGTAGTCAATGTCTATGGTATGTATATGTTGTGCTAGTTAACTATATGATTCGCTCTGGGCCTTTTGGAGGGAAAAGTGTCGTTTTTATTTTGACTTTCAATTATTTTGTGAAATCTAGTTTAAAGTGGAATAGGATAGTACTATTGTGCCTCAATCGAAGATTAAAACGCGAAATTATACGAATCTCGAACTAAAATACCCGTATCGGCCCGTTCTAAGGAATCCCGAGTCAATCCAAGCACGCCGCCTCAAATTGCCTATCCTCTTTGTGGCGGCCATATTTACAGAAAAATAATTAAACGAAGACATGGCTCAAAGGACTTGTATCTAAGCCAGAATTATTAATAAAAAAAAAGTTTACTATATCCGTTTAGTTTAAAAATGTAGGTAGTATAAGTTAAAATATTTTATTACTACGGCGACCTTGGTTGGACCAACGGTTAGCACTGGGCGCAGGATAAAAAAAGGTCTCAATTTTCTTACGACTCTATACAACCTCAAATGGCTTTGGTTGGTTCCGAATAACAGTGTAAGTGTCGAATCAACCACTTTGAAAAAATATACCGTATACGTATACCAATGATTTTTTTTATATCAACTGAACTAAATAGAACACGTATAGTATATGATATACATTTTTCAAATGGTTTTAATTTCCTTTGAAAAAAAATTAATTCTGAAATAAAGCCAAAGTCCCTACCGTTCTACCCAAGCATAATGAACCGTATTAGTACTGGAAATATTTTAATTCGAGCTGAGATAGTGTCGACTCTGAATTGCTTTTAGTGTCGGTGTTTTGGATTATGCCCCGGAGTGAATTGTGTTGCTCTGGTATTCATAGTACAGGGAATAACCCTAGATTGGGACCCGGAAAATAATATTATATTTCTACGTGTTGTAAATTTTTATTTCATAATTATAGTAACTTATAAACTTGTTTAGAAAACCGTGATTACACTTCAGAAATTAATAATTAGGTGACAATTTCAGTCCAATTTGGGTTCTACCTGGAATCGAACCCGTCTCCTCGTCATCCAGTCACGTCACCCGTGATATCCACGGCTGAGCCAACGAGTGTTTTATTCCCTCCAAATAAAGGGTTTTTCAACAGGAACTTTGTTTTGTAAATCAAAATAAAACAATAAATTTAGATGGCAATGATTCAAATTTTTATTGTATTAAAAAAAGTAAGGTTCGGCAATTATGAATGAAAAATCTAATATCTGATAAATGTCCACCACGACCTCTATTACAGATGTCGATTCTTTCATCAAAGTTTTTAATCACTTTTTGACAAAATGGTGGGTCTAGTTCGTTAATCACTTCACGAATTTTGAGTTTTAGGGCTGCAATCGATTCGATTGGCTCCGTAAGTCCGTATAGACTGTCTATAAAAAATGATCCAGTGGTGTTAAAACATAAGATCGGGCTGGCCACTTAACGGCCGAATTTCGTGAAATTATGCAATCGGGAAATTTAGTTTGCAATAAATTCATGGTTTCGGTGGCTGTGTAACTATAAAATTAAATATAGTAGTCATTGTGGCAAGACTCCCGAACACTATATAAATAGTACGTCATTGCGGTAAGGCTCCTTTCGTGCACCCCCTACACATTATTATTATTATTATGTAATTTATTGACCGACATATTTTTTGATAGAGACAAAACCTCACCCCGTCTACGGCAAGAGAATAACGCCACCTTCAATAACCGATATAATGAGGCGACATAGAGAGCTTCAGGGCAAATTTATTAAATACAACAAGCATTTGACACCGTTGCTTATTGATGCATATGGGTAAGTATTGTTTTTGATATTTTCTGGAACAGGGGCAGGGCTGCGTTGCTCGCTGAAGGTTACGCGATAAGTGCTTACCGCCGAGTGCGCCGACGTCGGCGCAAGCGCAGGGGGTGTTGCACGCACATCTGAATGGTTATACTGGATGTTTCTTAAGAAAAATCGTCGCAATGTTGAAATCGCGTAATTATTGTTCAGTGGATGGATGTAAAAATACGACAATAAATTATCGTTATTTTCATTACCAAAACACGAAAAAAGTTAAGTGTTTCATCTAGTGTTTTTACTATAATATCTTAGTAGAAGTATTTATTTTCGATTCTTTGTGCCATCAATTCCTAAGAATTTAACTTGATAGGTTGTGATCAACGAAATATGAGATTTTAAATATTCAAAATCCTGCCTAATGTAAGAAAAATTATACTTATTTTCAATTATTTGACTTTTAATGTATGTAATCGAGATTCAAGCAAACTGCTTTCGAATCATTTCTTTCTGTGTTCTACCGTTCTACTTTGTTTTTATTGTACTTACCCACTTTTTATTATCGGTACCTTAACCTAGGCAAGGTCCTAAAATATTTTATTCATGTATTTTTTATTGCCGTGGTAAGTAAACTAGACTAATCTAATAACCATCAAGTTAAAACAGTCATTAATTAACATTTAGTGTTTTAAAAACTATATGTCGCTCCTAGTGGCTACATCCATACATATAACTATACCTATATGTGGAACACCTTTTTCCGACCATTGCTTCCAAGAAATCGCTAGGTCCATAGAACCATCAAGTAAACCTCTTATTACGAAAACATCCCATTTGCAAGAAATTTAAATATGGACATCATCATCATCATCATCATTCAGCCATACGACGCCCACTGGTGGGCATAGGCCTCCTCCAACGATCTCCACGACAATCGATCCTGCGCTGCCCGCATCCATCGGCTTCCCGCGACCTTTACCAGATCGTCGGTGCATCTGATGGGCCTACCCACTGAGCGTCGTCCGGTGCGCAGTCGCCATTGAAGAACCTTTCCGCCCCAACGGCCATCGGTTTGCCTAGCTATGTGCCTCGCCCACTGCCACTTCAGCCGAGCAATTCTTCGAGCTGTGTCGGTTACCTTAGTTCTCCTACAGATTTCCCCGTTTCTGATTCTATCACGTAGGGAAATACCGAGCATCGCTCTCTTCATTGACCGCTGAGTGACCTTGAGCCTATATCCTCCAACGCAGCTGTGAATAGTTTCGGAGATACCACGTCTCCCTGTCTCGCGCCTCGTTGCAGATGGATAGGATTCTAATCCTATCCATCTCTGATCCTGTAATCGGACTTTCATAGTGGCGTTTTTGTATAAGTACCTTAACACCTCGACATACCTATAGTCAACTTGGCACCTTTGGAGAGACTGCAGCACCGCCCGGTCTCGATCGAATTATAGGCCTTCTCATAGTCCACAAACGCTAAGCAAAGTGGCTGGTTATACTCTTCGTTCTTCTGTATAACCTGCCGCAGCGTATGGATGTGGTCTATGGTACTAAAACCCTTTCGGAAACCGGCTTGTTCGGGAGGTTGGAAGTCGTCAAACCTGCGAGCGAGACGATTCGTGATAACTCTCGAAAACAACTTATGTAAAATACGGACATGTGGATCTCGGGTCTAGGTGTTTATGTTGCCGCCGTTGTTTCCGATTACCATAGCACAAGTGCTTTAGTTACTTACTTTGGGATCAGAGGTTGGTCAGATCATATACGTTGGTATATAATGATGTCTAATATTTACTTACTATGTTTCTGTGTTCATGTGTGAGGTCTTGCCTCTCACTTAAAGGCGACACCCCCAGAGTAGAATAATCCACAGGGATTGACATTACAACGCCTAATTTTTTTAAATATGTCAAGTGACGGGCCCAACAAGTCGTGCGCCTGATGGTAAGCTACACGCCTGTCCATAACAGTTGCAGTGCCACTCAGAGCTTTAAATCGCAAAGCTCTGTAGGGCACTGCCACTGCGCCCGTCACCCTGAGACATAAGTTGACAAGACCCATGTGCCAGTAATTTGTAAGCTGAGTAAGTAATTGCAAAGAGCTCTACTGCTACTAAATTGACAACCAAGTGTAACAGGCCTTATTAAAAACAACATGAAACAATCTCAGTATAAAGTACTGAAAACAGCCTCTAATGCCATTCATCCCCTAGTTTGCCACCCTTAGAGGTGGAATATTTTTATAAAATTTAAATAGGATTAATCCTGAGGTACCATCTTTGCAACAAAAAAAGAATCAAACTCAGTTCACATAAATTGCCTGCAGGGCCAGCTATCGTCATTGTTATCGCGTACATACAAAAAAAAACACAGTCGAAATAAGAACCTCCTTTTTTTTGAGGTCGATTAAAAAGAAAAGTTACAATACATTTCAAAATTTGTATCCCATAAGTTACCGAAAATCACGCGTAAATCAATAACACACAACACACAATCCATATCAGTTCATACTACTTATAACAAGGTGACCTTGAACAGATAAAATCCAGATCGCGTACCGAGTCCTACAAACCTTGTTTCATGTCCTACATAGCCGTCCCGTGTCCTCGAATGGGAGCATGCCCCTATTATCTGACCTTGTAAATTTGAGGTCACCAGGGGGCGAGTGGAGTGGGTAACGTAACCCCGAATCGTGACCTTGACATTTATTTGAATAACCTCGTTTGATAGTTGAATTTTTGTTCAGACGTTGGTAATGAAAAAACATTATAAGTATATATGTATATAGTAAAATAAATAATTTTCTTCACTGGTATACAAATACTACTACTACTGCCCTCGGAACGAAAAAGGGCACAACTGTCGTGTAAAGTCTTTGACTTACAAACAAATGGACGACGCCGACGGGTCTAATACAAAAACCACGAAAAAAATGTCCCAAGTCAACCTATTTAAACGTAGTGACATGTAAAGGAATATGAAAAAGCTAAAACGTTGAATTTAAATTGTAATGTCATCGCAGTACTGTCTAATTTTGCTTGCTTCGCTGTCAGTCGAACAAACGAAGACTAAAGCGTGAATGACGCTCTGTACACGGTTTTAACGCCCTATAAGTTCGGACACTTTAGCGCGGACCCGACGTCCATATAATTGTAAGTCAATGTGTAAAGTACACATAGTTGCGCCTTTTTTCGTTACGAGGCCAGTATACATACATATACACATATACATGTACCTACTACGCAAATATAATAAAAATTTTGCAATTACAAAGTACGCCAATTCTATAAAGAAATCAAAACAATTATTAACGAGGAATCGGAAAAACCTTCATATATGTATATACCATAAGAGCGAAATGGCCATGCATGCTCTTTTCGTTTCCGCTCGTACCTACAACGCGAAACGAACGCCTTTGTTGCCCTTATTACACGTAAAGCCTTTTCTGATCAGTTTAGGGCAAATCGATATCCATAAGTAGTAGTTTTGGTAGCGGTAGAGCTCGCGATTTAAAGCTCTGAGCGGCACTGCAACTGTTATGGACAGGCGTGTCGCTTACCACCAGACACACGACTTGTTCGTCCCGTCACTTGATATTATAAAAAACAAGTGTACTGATTCGGTACACCAGTGTCCCTGCATAGCCCTTCTTAATATATCGATACCAGCCCCTGTAGCATGTCTACGCATAATAGTCGCGACGCGCGCGATAAAATTGAAATTAACGCGCTATTGGCCTTCTAAATTAGATCTGATTGAGACAGCCAATAGCGCGCGCTTATTTCAATTTTATCTATTTATGTAAGGGACAAACCACGGTTTTTCAGTAGAGCCAAAATACGATTTTATTTTTTTTCAATCTGTCTATAACTTTTTACAGTCTGCTCCAATTTTGATTGTGTCTAGAGCAAAGTTTCTTAAAACTTCCTCTTCTTTCATGTTATAACAGAAAGATTTAGGAATGCACAGTGGTTTAAGATATAGCATGTTCCTTACATTAAAAAAGATGTCTAGTTGTGTCTTACGTTACTAATATTTTATGTATAAATCGTCGAGCATAGTAAGCAGGAAGAGAAATGGAAAATTATTTATTTCCATTGTAAAGGATCCTTTATGTATGTTTTTATATGTTGATATCGACGTGCAAAATAACATACTTTTGTTACATACTCACAAAATTACTTAACAATAGACAATATTATAATAATTAAAAATATTTCAAAAGGAAATGCATTTTTGCTATTGGCCCCTAATAAAAAAAAATTTGCCCACCCATGCACTAAATAAAAAGAAGACAACTGTACACAACACACAAAAGTGATAAGAATTTGGTTTTTTATTATTTTTTTTAGAATACTTTCTGTATCAACAATGAAAAATAGCACTTTCATACCCTAAAACATCAAACAAAATTCTACCTTGACAGCCGAAACTTGCTCCCAAACTGCTTCGGAGAGAGGCGCGGTGACCCCAATACGCGGATGGTGACCTGCTTTACAGAAGTGAAACCGTTGCCGAAAATTTAGATAGCCTGTGAGTGAGCGAGAGTGCTTGCCTTTAAGCTATTTAAAAAAAAAATTCGTCGAAATACGTTTGAACGAAATAATAATAACACATTTATTTCCAGTAACAACAGACTTAGCAGATACAAAGATGTGAACTTATTCTAGGGTTAATAAAAAAAAATTAAAAATCAATCATCCATTTTACTTTTTACTTATTTTTTTTTTATTGGATGTGCAAAACAGTTTACATTCAGTGGAACATGTTTGAGATACAATTTAGAGTCTTAATCTAGAATGTAGACCTAATACTTGTACATACAGCGTTATTATGCGAAGTGTAAATATATTTGCATAAGGAAGGAAAAAAAGAGGGAAAAGTGAGATTATAAACTAATGCGACTAAAGACGAACATAGATATTAATTTGGCAGTGCTAATGAGAAGTCGAGTTGAAATATTGGAGGAGATTGGTACCAAATCTTCAAAGATTGTTGTCGAAAACATCAGTGTGACCTCCAGATACTGATATTAGTAAATCATTGTAGGTTCGGCACATTCTAGTCATGGGGTTATAAAAGGATGTATTATTTCGATAAACACAAAGGTTTTAGGATGACGAAGACTAGGTTTAATTTTAAAATTAATGTGAGTGCGGACTGCCACGCAGAGGTCCCGGGTTCCATTCCCGGCCCGGAAGAAATATTTGTATGGCCTACATTTATTTCTCTCGTAAGTTTGGGTGTAATTTGTGGTTGTCTATGTGTGTGTCAATGGCACCCGCGACACAGGGTCTCCCTAGTTGGCTTTAGTTATTATTCAGGTCCGAAATAAATGCTTATTATTTTTAATGAACAGGATGATAATGATTTTTTTATTTATTTAATTGCATTATGGACAGCACATAAAAATGTGTCTCATACAAACATAGACCCTGTAAAGGCGTATAATAATATATAATTTAAAGCAATCTATGGCATATAATATTGGTGTACTTGATTGAAGTGTACCAAACGGTAATATATGGGCAATCAGACCTGGCAACTATCATTCTCAAGATGGTGTACTATACTTATTTTTTTTTACGTATCATCTATACAACCTGTGTTTTCACCAGTAAATTAATTACGAATCTTCATAAGAAAAGCTCCCTCGTTTCCGGCTCAATTTCTCATTACTTCCAAAAGAGACTAAAATTCACTTCCACGTTTCCCGTCACCAATTTCATAATACAACGCTTTCATAATCTTTATGCAACATTTATAATTCCTCTCACTCTGCACTACGACATAGAACGTCACATCTAACGAAATGGAAAGCCTTCCAAAAGATATCGAAAGTGCAACTCTCGCTTTCAGTGCATCACTACGTCGCAAATACGTCATGTGACGTATGAGCGTCATTGTGCTGTACCTGACGTCATCGTGACGTGTAACGAAACCGAGAGTCAATTAAATTTCGTGCCAAACTTTCGCGTGACGAAAGTAGGTTACGCTTTGTTGACGGGCGCATAATAATAATAGGTCTCGTGAAAGCCGAAAGCGAGAAGTGTCGGAAGTATCTCGATGTGGCACACGAGACTACCGATATCGACTAAAATAAGGCATTTAAATTATCATTTTGAATTTGCAAAAGCAACAAGAAAAACATCTAAATGGTCATCGTTTTTAATGATTGATCCTTTTTCGGCTCCGTCCCTGTTTCATACTCATCACTTAACGATACAGTGTGTTTATTTCAATATGATTTTCCCTGTTTCGTTTACACGAGTACCCAAATATAAGAAAGTACCCTATGTCACATATTAATTAATTTTTTTTTTGTCAACAGAGATGAGATAGCAAAAATGCTAGACTGCAGTCGTGTAGCTATAATAGTAGGAGCAGCAGGGTGCGGTAAATCAACTCGAGTGCCGGCCGCCATCTTGAGACATTGCAGCGCAGGCACAACCGCCATAGTCTCGGAACCGAGAAGAGTTGCAGCCATCGGATTAGCTGAAAGAGTTGCCAGCGAGTTAGGAGAAGATGTGGGTATACATCCTGCTACCAAACACGGGTTTCGAAGAAAGAGAGGATATTAGTTTAATGACTATAGTGTAATAAGACTAGTATGTTCACCCTGTACGAACGTACCACCGCGGCTTGTACGTGTCCAAGCTGGCCGGTCTCAGAATGGGACCGACGGAATCTTGTCAAATTTAACTTCGCAAAGACAAAAGCGTGCGCGTTTACCGCAAAAAGAAACCCATTTGTGATAGCGCCAAAGTTCCAGAATACTGCCCTTACCATCTCTATGAGTATTGGGATACTTGAAGTCGACATCACGAACGAAGTCCAGTTCAGGAGTCATTTGGAGAGCAAAGCCAAACTGGCTTCAAAAAAGCTCTGATTGCTCAATAGAGCGAAGCAGTACTTCTCACCAGGTCACCGACTTTTTTTATATAAAACACAAGTACTGCCCCACATGGAGTATTGCTCGCATCTCTGGGCAGGAGAACCTGCCTCGAACCTGCAAGATGTGGAATGATCTTTCTCCTGAAGTATCTCCTTTGGCTATGACATGGAGTTCTTCAAAAAGCGTGTTTACAGGGCTCTCAAAGGCAAGCAACGTATAGGCAGCTCATCTGATGTTGCAAATAAATACCCATGGGCGACCATGACCACCTCCCATCAAGTGGCTCGTCTACTCGTTTGCCTCTTTCTTTAAGGCTGCGCGCAGTGTACGGCATACATTGATTATACATACATCGCATAATCTCCATTTGAATTTTAACCTAGTGTAAATATTAATTCCAGGTGGGTGACTCGATAGGCTATCAAGTGCGCCTGAATTCAAATCCACCTCGTCCGCCGGTCGGATCTGTACTGTTCTGCACTTCTGGAGTTCTGCTTAAACGGTTGCAGACTAACCCAGGTACAACTGTGTGTTTTTTTTTATTTGAATATTGATAGAGAATAATAACGCAACAATAATAAGGCAACACACTCATAGCCCCGCACTAGGGAATACCTGTGTGGCGGGTGCCATGGACCACACATAGTCAACCACAAATTACACCCAAACTCACGAGAGAAATAA